ATTGACAAATTGTCAATTTGTTGATAATAGTCAGTAAACAAATAACTGTATTGGAAATCCTACCTACTCACCTGATCTGGCCCTGAGTGACTTTTTTCTTTACCTGAAGACAAAGGAAATATTGAAAGGAAGACATTTTGATGACGTTCAGGACTTCAAGGGTAATATGATGACAGCTCTGATGGCCATTCCAGAAAGAGTTCCAAAATTGCTTTGATGGATGGACTAGGCACTAGTATCAGTGCATAGCTTCCCTAACTTCCCACGTCGAGTACTTTGAAGGTGACCACAGTGATATTTGGCAATGAGTTATGTAGCACTTTTTCTAGAATAATTTTGCAAACTTAATGATCAGATCTTGTATGTAGTGTACCTATATAACTATATAGTTATAGTATCTATATACTATAGCAATAATATAAATATATGTATTTATATATAAATATAGCTGTATGTTCATATTTAAGGAAATATTGCATTTTCCTGAGAGTTTTTATTAGGAATGGATGTGGAATTCTGACAAAGGTCTTTTGTGTAGCTATGGAGATTTTCCTCCTTAGCCCTATTTATATGATGAATTATATTAAACAATTTTCTATCAAATCCTCTTGCATTTCTAGTATAATCCTTAGGTACTTTTCCATTCCCATCACTATGTCTCAGATTCCAGCATCTCTACTGTAGTGCTCTTGTCTTTACTGACAGCCTCTTCTCTGAAGCCCTTGAAAAATATTTCACACATTTTGTCCCTGATATACCCTCAATTCTTTCTCTTTTTTGTGCATACTTTTATTTATATATATAATATAACATATATATAATTTTATTTATACATGTATGTGTATATATGTCAATATCAATCACACAGGACTATATTTATTTGTTTAAATGTCTTTCTCTCCCATTAAATTTTATATTCATTGAAGGCAAGGACTAGTTCTTATACATACATATATATTTTTTTTTATGTCAATTTCTTTAATGTGAAATCTACAAATCTTAAAGTGGCCATCCAAAAGAGATATTCAGAAACAGTTCTTGTCATACTTTTCTATTAACTAGCCACAAATTAAAATCAATTCTCATTTATAATTATGTTAGATTCAGATCTATTAGTCATCAAAGTATGTCCCTTTGAATCAGTGCAACAGCTTTATATTTGAGAAAAATCCAATACACCCCAATTATCTATAAGAGTGGAATTAGGCTTATCCCAAACTAATGATGCAGAAATGATTCTACCATAAATGGAATTCTCCTGTCCCTGTTCATTTTCCCATTTATCATTAAAAGATATTTATGTTCTGAAGAGAGAAAGTGCAGAAAAGAGAAGTTAACTTTTGTCTGTGGTTCTCAGGTTCACTATTAAATTTTCCTTCAGAATTCATGTAACTGTTGTTCTTTCCCTTCCACCTTACCTTCGTGATAGCAGGATAGCCCAATATTGTAGTGTTTTATTTGATGGTATGTCTTTTTTGAACAGTAAATAGGGAATAGTCTGACAAAACCCAGGGCAAATGTGCACAAGTTCCTGGCGTTTACCTAGGGGAGCTGGATGTGGTCCCACCCATATTCTTTCTTGATGTTGTGACTGAGGGTTTGCTGCTCTTCCTTTTTATTCCTCTCAGAGTTCCTCCCCATAATAACAATCCGACAGAGCCTTTGAGCAAACATGAGGAATCTGAATGAGCGGAACAGGCAAGAATGTAACAGAGATTGAAGGGTACAAAGATGCTGTCCAGGGAGAAAAATTTAGATTCTATTATTTTCATTCCAATATTATCTGCACTCAACTAATATCAAGACCCATTCCAGATGCTGCATTGGACAGGGTTTAAGAATAATTCCAAAGTTATACACACACACACACACACACACACACACACACACACACACATATATATGTTCATAGGGTGTGTGTATATATATGTTCATTGGGTAGCTTGAAAATGCTCTCATGGCAATAGTAGAGAACAAGAGTCCAATCAAACAGAGAGTTGCAAGCCCTGAATTAGTCATGCCCATGATATTCCATTTCCCCAAACAAGTCATGTGGCCAAACCTGAAGCTGAGGTATGCACATGATGCAAGTGGATGAGGAAATATTTTGGAATAACAATGTTATCTAACACATAGTGCTTTGGAAATGAGTGATAAAAATGCTTATGTATGGCATCTTCTCAGTGAAAAAGAAGGTGGTGATAAAGACATGCAGAAGCCTTAGGGATTAGTGCCTAGTATTGTTACATGCCATATGGGACAGAACTGCGTTTACTTCTACAGAAAGTAGTTGCTAATTGAGATGGGCTCTATGAGTTTGTTTGCATGCAATTTAAGATGTAGGTTAAACGGTCATTTCAATCATATGAGGAATGCCGAACTCACAGCACTTCCTAAAAAAGCATCTGGACCCCCTCTAATTCTCAGGCTTATGTAAAGTTCCTTTGAACCACTGAGTGAGCATCCTTCCATGGATAACCAACTGTTCATTCTATTCAAGTGGTAAATAAATTTGCAAATGTTGACCAGAGCTTAATTACAAGACTAAAAGAGTATACTTCAAAGAAGAGCTAATATAAAAACACGATGAGACACCTGTTATGTGATAGATTGAAAAACTACATGGACTTATTATAAAACTGTCTCTCCTTTTACTGAAACAATCTAAACATCTCTCATTCTGCCACTTTATACCCCCAAACTTCTGCTTGTATTCATGTCTCCTAATGAAATTGTAAAATAAAACCACAATGCTTTGTACACAAATTACTGATTAAATTATATTAAATAAAAATAACTATACACATGAAAAATAGTCATATTTGTGACTGTTTCTTGAGAACTAATGAGGAACTAAGGATAATTAAGGCAGATGATCAGTTTATTTTTCCATTTATTGAACTATATTAACTATCTATTGCTATGTAAAAAATTATACCCAGTGTTAGTGGTGTTCAACAATAAACACATATTATCTCATAGTGTTTGTGAGTCAGAAATTTAGAAGAGGCTTAGGCAGATGGGTTCTGGCTTTTGTGAGGTCCCAATCCAAAAATCAGCTGAGGTTGCAATTATCTGAAGACTTGACTGGGGGTTGGAGGATCTGCTTCCAAGATGTCTCACTTCCATGACTGGCAAGCTGATACTTGGTAGCAGGAAGCCTCCGTTCCTTGACAGGTGGGCTTCTCAATAGCCGGGCGTTTGGGGAGTTGGGGGGGGAGTCGGGGGGTGGCGTGAGAAGATCCAATGTATTTTATGACCTAGTCTTGGTTATTTCTGCAGTATTTTATTGGTATACCAGGGATGGGTCTGGCACTCACTCTCAAGATCGTGCAAGTGCATGATCCTGTGAATATTTCCTTAAATTTTTAATCCTAGATGCCTCACCCTAATCCTGGCTCCGGGTTACACAAATAATCTGTATTCAGTGTTGAAGGAGACTGATAGGGGTATAATAGTAGGAAGCAACCACTGGGGTCATCTTCGAGGCTGGCCATGTAAGAATTAAGCACCTACGCAAGATTCTGATCAATGAGAAGGAACTTCCACTGGTTCCATAGTTCTCAACCCTTGCTGAACATGTGAATCATCTCAAGTGCTGATGCCTGTGCCTCACTCCTTAGAGATCCTGATTTAATTAAACTAGAGTGGGACAGTCATAGTATTCAAAAAAGACAAACTCTCCAAGTTATTTTCATATGCAGTCAGGGATAAGTATACTGCAAATGAATGAAAGTTTCCTTTTGGGACTAAAGTCCACACAGAATTTGCCTATCATTGTATCTGTCAACAACATCTGTTCTTCCCTCCTGCAGCAGGGAGTGTGAGAAGCTTTAGGACAAGGAGGATCAGTAATTTATTCACTTGCACACTGTTGTTGAACACAGAACATGTCCGGTTGACTAGATTTCTTCTCTGTCACCTATACAGTCTGCTTGAACTCTTTTGTATAAGATTGGTAGGAGCAGGGTTAATTAATCAGTGCGGGTCTGATTTAAGGCACTTTATCTGTTTCAAAACAGATAAAAATAGGCAGGTTGGATAAACACAAAAGTTACCAGATGAAAAAGAGAATAATAGGAATTAGATGGGTTAGATTGGGTTTAGGCCGCCTGTTTACTTACATAACAGTTTAGTACTAGTTTGATGCATGCGTGCATGCGTATACACAAACACACACACACACACACACATACACACACACACACACACACACACACACACACACATAGACACATACATGCAAAGCTGAGAATGAAACCGCTCTTAGCTCATATAATTTTAGAGGCTAGTGAAGTCTTATATCAACTAGGCTACTTGGTTGTTGGCTAGTTATCTCTTTGATCCCTTCTCATTCTGGTCCATGTAGCAGAAGCCTGGGCTGAACATGATGGGAGGATGGAGAAGAAAGATTAGAAATGTGGTTCTTGTGCAAGGGATTCTGTTTTCCTTCAGTGAAAATAAACAACAGAATTTCAATATGAGCACTAGCTGTACTTCCCCATTATTTGTCACTTTTGCAAGAACTTTCACGCTTTCTTCTTAGATTTTACATTGCTGAAAGCAACAAAGCTCTGGAATTATCATAATTTTGGCAAACAGTCTAGAATGTTGGCAGATGTTCAAAAGCAGAGGATCTAGTATTGGCATGCACTTGAAAACATTGTTGTCCCTCTGTCAGATAATTAAAATGAAAAAATGCAAGCACTGTAAGTATTTTTTTTAATTTCAGCAGCCTAATGCGTACCTCTTACATAAGCAAGAAAACCCCTACAGATTGCATTGGGTGTGAGCATGACATATTCTCTTACTCTTGTTTAAATTTCAGCCATTTACAGATGAAAGAGGGTGAGTTGCTGGGAAAACAGGTCATTCACTTCTGACATCTGTTTTAGCTGCTGCAGAGGATTGGCTGAAGGAAGATTATATTAATAAAGCACAAGTTCTACCTTCCCAATAGGATTCCAGCAGAATTTTCTGTATGACAAAGTCTCATAGGACTAGAGTGTCTCCATCTCATGACAAGGTAGATCACTTCCACTGGACTCCTGAATGCAAGTGTACTTGATGGGAGGTGGTGGTGGCTTGAAAGGTGGGGGTCTCTCCATGCTAAGAACAAAACATTGTTTTTTCAATGCCAAGATTGTGAGGAAGATACACATACACCCCCACACGTACCTTTTCTTTTTTTTTTAAGGAGAAGAGACTCATAAGATAGAGACATACCCTCCTAGTTCTTTCAGAAATTTTGCTGGCTTAACCATGCACTTGTCAATTCTATCAGTCATTTGAGTATCATGATCATACCATTAATTAATATCTATATGGTATTTTATAGTTTACAAAGCACATTTATCATAACATTATTTTGTATCTAGGAATTGAATATTATTGTCACCCTTCTACTGATAAAACTGAGATTTAAACAATTTGCTCAAGAGAACCAGACCAGAAATGCAAGTCTTTTAACTAGAACCGATACTTTCCCTGGCAACTGCTTCTTAATAAAAGAAGTGTTTCTCCTATGTGAGTTAAAACATTCCTCTAGAGATAAAAATCTTAAAATTCTGAGACTTAAGAGGGAGCTTTTCAAATAGCCCCTTGGCTCATCCTACCCCCAGCCTTCACTCATTGTGTACTGTGGAGATATGGTAGAGGTGGGAAATAAAACTTTCTCAATCTCTGAGAACTAGCTGGATAATGCCTAATCCCTTTTGTTTAAATCAGTGAACATTCTTAACGTCATCTTTGTATAAAGCACTATTTTATGTTAGTAAAACTCATCTCTTTGTCTAAATTGCATAAAGGAGTCAAGTTAGTATGGGATTTAGCTATATGAATTTTCCATCTAGCTTAATATAAAAAAACAGAAATATATCAGTGAACATCTTTATGTCTATAACTCAAACACCTCCATTTCGATATAACACAGACTTTTGAATACAGAACAATTAAAAAATCAATTCAGATTTCCAGGTTCTCATTTGCTTATTTTCTTATAAAGATCTCCAATTCCTATTACCCAATTTTCTGATGCTTTATGGAGACAACATATATCAAAAGGTGGATACAGTTCTGAGAACATTGCACTTTGGTTCTTTCAGAGAAATTATAAATTTCTCAAGGTCATTTGGTGGCTGAGATGAACCTAGATTTCTAACCACTGATTTAGTGTCTTATTCGCCAAGAAACACTCCCTGCATGCAGCTATAGAGTCTTCAAGACTACTCTATCAAAAGCAGGAGAGCATTTGGCACAATGGTCAATGTCATCTTAATAGTATTAATAGAAGACATGTGGAAAATCAGCTCTGTGTATTGGGGTCTCCTCCAAGTATGGCCTAATTCAGACTGACCCAAAATGGCAAGCCAGAAAAGTGAGACTTAAACTTACATACCATTTCAGACTGCTCATTGAAGAATTTTGAAAAATATTTCAGTAAGATATAAAAGGGGTAACACAGTGCTTACTTTCTTTTCTGCTTGCAGAAAAAGGAAAAGGGTAGTAAGCATCGACTATGATAAAAAGCAGCTGGAAATCTCTCAAAATTACCTTTCTCACTCAATTTCACACTTGAGCATCTAGGCCCAGCTGAGTCCAGGCAGTTCAAAGATGCATGAAAATGAAAAAATAATGAAGATTAAAAGAAAAATCAGTTTCAGTTTTGAGGTGAGGTGAGGCTCAGTTTTCATTTTATGCCCACAGACTTGCTTCACCTGATGAGTATTATAGCCTGACCAAGCCAATGCAGAGAGAGATACCAAGTCAGCAGTTGTGCATTGAATTCTGACTGTGTGATGCTGGGAAAGCTATATAGCCTCTCTGAGCTTCTGTGAACCTTATATCCCCATTAAAATATGAAAGGAATTCTGTGTAGTAATAATAGGTTGTACTGATAAATATCTGATAATGAAAAATTGATCCGTTCCTACATATCTTAGTATAATACTCACATTTCTTTTTGGTATTGACACCATTTTCTCACCCCAAGACTAAACAATACCACACAGAAAAAGAGTAAGGCTGCTACAATCACTGGCCAGGATGTTCCATCTTTGTGTTTATTAACCACAATACCTGAAAAGGGCATAAAGAGAGATAAACTATAATCCGACACTTTGGTATTTGGAAAACAGGATCAATTGAACTATTTCTCCTACTTGAAACTTATTTTCTCCAAAGGCCAATACTATGCTTATTGCCTATGATCATACTACAGGAACATGTCTATGCTTTGTTATTCAAGAGGCAATAATTTTTTTCTTTTTGAGTCAGAGTCTCACTCTGTCACTCAGACTGGAGGGAATTCGCAGAATCAGGGTTCACCGAAGCCTTGAACTCCTGGGCTCAAGTGATCCTCCCACCTCAGCCTCCTGAATAGCTAGGACCACAGGCACGTGCCACATACTAGGCTAATTATTTTATTTTATTTTATTTTATTTGTAGGGATGAGGTCTCTCTAAATTGCTCAGGTTGGTGTCAAATTCTTGGGCTCAAGTGATTCTCTCATGTCTGCCTCTCAAAGTGCTGGGATTACAGGCATGAGCCACACCGCCTGACTAACCTTTGATAGTGATGTATCCTACCAGAATTTCTTTATTCTTATATAAGTGTGTGTGTATGTATATGTATAGTATATATATATATATATATATATATATATATATATATATACCCTCACAAATTTATGTATACACGATATATATACATAATGAATATATATCCTTTTTATTACAAATGGGAGCATACTATACACATTATTCTGTCTCTGGCCTCTTTTTCTTTTTTTGAAATTTTCATTTTTTTGAAAGTTGTAGGGTATAAATCAGGATTGGGTACATAAGTGGTTTAGGTATAGGTGAAGTTTTGGGCCTCCCATTGGACTCGCTGAATTAGGATCAAGCACCCTTCTTGATGTTATGTGCCTCCTCCCCCCCAGGAGTGTCCCACTACGGTCAATCTCTTTTTTGCAGTATTATGATAGGTGTTCAGGGTCAACCTATGAGTGAGAACATGTGGCACTTAGTTTTTTGTTTCTGTGGTAGGTCACTGAGTGTGATAAACTCCAAATCCATCCAAGTGTCTGTAAAGTCCATAATTTTGTCCTCCTTTATGGCTGCATAATATTCCATCATGTATATGTACAACATCTTTTTTATCCAGTCCAATTTTGATGGGCAACATGGTTGTTTCCATGTTTATGCTATTGTGAACTGTGCTGCAATAAACATGTGTGCACAGGTACCTTTTTTGTCGAATGATTTGAGTTCCTCTGGGTATCCTCCCAAGAGGGGGATTGCTGGGTCATAGGAAGGTCAATTTCTAGTTCTACCACACTGTTTTCCATAGAGGTTGAACTAATTTACACTCCCACCAACAGTGCAGAAGCGGCCCCTTTTCTCCACATCTTCTCCAGGATCTGTTGTTTCTTATTTTATTAATGATGGTCATTCTTACTGAGAAGTGGTTTTGATTTGCATTTCTCAGATGATTGGTGGGGCTGAGCATTTTTTCATGTGTCTGCTGGCTGCTTGTATAGCTTCTTTTGAGAAGTGTCTATGTCTTTCACCCATATTTAAATGAGCCTTTTTTTTTTCTTCCTGCATGTTTGAGTTTCTTGTAGATCCTGGATGTTAGGCCTTTGTCAGATATACAGTTGGCAAATATTTTTTTCCCATTCTGTGAGTTGTCTCCCCACTCTCTTTATGGTTTATTTTGCCTTGCAGAAGCTTTTCAATTTGATGAGGTCCCACTTGTTTATCTTATCTCTTATGACATGGACATCTGGAGTTTTGATCAGGAATTGGTTGTCTGGCCTTTTTTTCTTAAAAAACATTCTTGGAATACTTTTCATAGCATGGAGATTTACCTCATTCTATTAAATGACTGAATAGTTCAATGGATTGACCAATATATTTAATTGGTCTCATAATGTTAGATGATTGAATTGTTTCCAGACTTTTGTTATTTCTAACAACACTCCAGTGAAATGTCTTATACATGATAGATAGCTCTCTAGCTATTTAGATTACATAGGTAATTTAGATAAAAAGTTATCTGTATTTTTTTTTATTGTCTCAACTAGATGGTAAACTGCTTGTAGGTTTTTAATTTCTTTTATTGCCCAGTTTTGATTGCACTGCTTTTCATATAGCAAAATCTCAAAAAATACAGGCCAAAGAATTGTGTTTAAAAATATTAGCTACCAAGTTTTTCCTGTGTTTTACGTAGTTTAGACTGCAGCCACGTGATGTCAACATGTTAGCATTGGTTAGAAGTGCTGAAAATTATCTTTCATAGACCATCCAGGGATTTGAGGCCTTCTTAATTAATGCTCGCTTTACATCGGCCCTATCACAGTAGACACTGAGGGTTCCCTGGAAGCCCCTGTAGTCCTATAATATATAACCATGTGGTACATTCCATATACAGATGGCTAGAGAGTTTACAGTAGTTCAAACCACTGGAGTAGCCTGATCACAAAATAAACAATTGCACAGATGGTCAACTCAGGAGTGGACAAGATTCTGTTTCACTCAAGTAAAAATTTACACTGATTATATGGTGGGATGTAACATCTACCTCCAAAATTTTAGGAAAGTGAAAGAACAAAGGTTTTACGTAAGTCTTACAAATTACCTTCCAATCAAATGTAGAAAAGGGGACCACTGCATTCAGGAATGTGTTAATAGAAAAGCAGAATCCACTCTTGATCCATATCTAAACTAGACAGCTCCTTAAGGCACCGACATCTTAAGATGTTGGTAGTGCCTCAGTTTGCAGCTTTATTGCCATAATGAGTGAAGGATGATGCCCCAGTGATGAGAGGACTGTAAGGACTTTGATATGAAATAGGCTGAGTACCCAGGTAGAGAGTTCACTAGTTGATTATACCTGAAGTTGATTATGCCTGTGAACATACAATCATAACCTGTATTGGGAGGGCCCTAAGTCTATTGAATCCTTTGCTCTCTTATGTAATAAAACAAAGGATTGCATTTTGCATTGACAAAATTTTATCAGTTGAATTAAGGATTACTCTTCGTTCCAATGATTTTTGTCTCAGATTATGTTTTCACAGGCCTTAAATGTTTTTTGCTCCTTTTCACTTGGCTAATTCTTATTCATCTTTCAGATTTTAATTTAAATAGTATAACCTAAAAGAGTTCTTTTCTGTTCTCCAATTAAAATTTGGTCTTCTGTTAGACTCTGAGAATACCTTAGCACCTGGCAAATGGTAGGTACTTGATAAATATTGATTGTGAACAAACATTAAAAAATAGAGTAAATGACTCACCGGTGATATGGACATGATTATTTTTAGTAGATCTATTGACAGTTGTGGGGACTTCTGAAAATACTCTGGTTGTGCTGGTAAAGACATCGTCTAGGGATATAAAAGAGATATCTGAATTAGCTATCTCAACTTGACAAAGTGATATAAAACCATGATTGGGTTCCATGTGCTATTAGAAAGAGCTCAATTTAAATGGCCTAGGTGCCCTTAAAAGATTATGTGCAAATTTTACTAACAATCAATTTATAGCAAGGCTGGGATCCTGGAACTTATATAACAACTACCAAAGAAGTGAAATTTACTGTTGGCTAAAAGAAAAAAAGAGAAGCTGCATACGTTCAAATAACAAAACAATATCTGCTAAAGAATCTTCATGAGAAATTTAAGTGGTATGGGAAAAGGCCATAGTTGGGGTCAAGGAAAGATGAGATCTTATGTCTATTCCCAGGGATTGAAGTTCAGTGGATCAAAATACTCATTTTCCCCACTTCAATGTGTTTAATGAGAAATAAAAATTATTTTGCAACTTTAGACTAGACACATCCATGCTATCATTCTACTTTCCAATGGAAAAATACAAGTTGAAATGTATTTTTCATAGCTGTAGCTGGCCAAAAATGCAATTGTATAAATTTCCTTTCTAAATACAGTAAAATAGAGAAAAAAATCTAAGACTTATTCTTTGACTGTCTTCTTTAAATGATTGGGAAGAATTTTGGTTCCATTCATGTCCATTTACATCGTCAAGATGTACTTATTTATTTTTTAAGTGAGGTCTCATTCTTTCACCCAGACTGGAGTGCCGAGTTATAATCACTGCTTGCCACAGCCTCAAACTTCTGTGCTCAGGAAATTCTTCTGCTTCAGCCTTCTGAGTAGCTGGGACTACAGGCGTGTGCTACCAAATCTGGCTAACTTTTTTGATTTTTTTGTAAAGAAGAGGTCTTGCTAGGTTGCCCGGGCTGGTCTTGAACTCCTGGGCTCATGCAATCCTCCTGTCTTGGCTTCCCAAAGTGCTGGAATTATAGGTATCAGTCACCAGGCCTGCTAAAATGTACTTTTAAATACCTATATGAGATTGTCTTTCTATCGGTTCTTTTTTTTTCTACCTCTGCCCAAATAAATCAGACCACTACCTTCATGCCCCTAAATCTTCCCCTACTTACTCACCATGAAGTGTCGAACTTGTACTTGAGGAGGATGAACTGAACGTTTCATTAGGTATCCATGAAATTACTAAAGGAAGAAGGTGTGGGAAGAGTCAATTTAAGTAAGAATAGTTATTCTATTATCTCTTCCTGACTGTTAATTGAATCTAATAATTATTTTAAAAGGTATTAATGAATACTAAAAGCAAGATCATTGAATTATTTTGCAGCACACACTAGAATGTCCCAAAATAAAGTTGGAGTCGAGGGGATGCTGGTGGTCCAGATGCCTCTCAGAGGGAAAGTTTTAATCATAGCCATTTAGAAGCATGAAAAGAAATTAAAGGAAGATGCTAGAAGAGGCTTTTCCAGTTACAAAGAGTGTGTTTTGACTGTTCTCATGCTCATCCCATAGCTAAGTCAAAAGAACAGGAGAAAATAAAAGCCTGGATGTGTTATGGTGGCCTTTATTAGAGAAAAGGTGCCAATAGGACTTTGAAGACCTTGGTAGAACATGTGTGAGGGAAGAAAATAATTGTACTTATGGGTCAGCTAACATTCTTGCTCAACTGTGACTACTGAACTGTATCAGTAGTGAATTACCAGACCTCTATGGTCACAGGCCTTGTTAGCTGCTCATGAGTCCTTCTGAAGCATTCAGAGGGAAACCTTTCCCTTGAGTGGATGGGAACAAACTCAGGCAGCACATATGGCTTTTGAGATAGATCTATCAACTCATTTTGTTTATTGCTCCATCTCTGGCAAGAAAGATCCACTTCTTGGCAGGATCCACATATTTGTATTTGATAGAAGCCTGCAATGTAAAGTAAAATAACTATAGTAGTACATGGTTGCAATCCGTAGAAAGATATCACATTCATTTATTTCGAATGTTAGCATACATGATTTTCCCAGTTAAAAGTTTCTTTTGTGGCAAGATCAAAACAAATGAGCAAAACCAAAGTGAAACAAAACAAACAAACAAAACAACCCTCAGTCCTCCCCTTTCTTGATTTCTTCCTAGATGTCAACAGCAGCTGCTGTTGCTGACAAAGGTATGTGATCGGTCCCTTCAGAAGAGGTGTAAGTCAATGCTTCCTTAGGGCTTGCACACAGGGACAATCTTTGATAGCTACTTCCATTTGGGGTCGCTTTGGAGGTAAAAGTAGTTTTGTATACAGCTATTTTGAGTCTGATTAGGCTAAGGAGATGTTCTTACCTTCAACAGAATTCTTTGGTCCCATACAAGTAATCTTGACTAGTTTTTCATTGTAGAGAGAATACTAAGGTCTATAGATGATGTTGGACTGAGCGTGTATTGAATGCCCTTTTTAAGTATATAAGCTATTAGCCAGGGACCTGATTGATAAAGAGCAACAACTAATTAAAAAGAAATTTGGACCAGGCCTGGATTTAGGTAAAATTATGAAGAAGATGACCTTATAGGTTTTTTGCTCAACATGGTGTCATCTTTAACTTCTTACTTTCAGAGCTTGCTGTCTTTATATTGTATGTCTTCAGAGTATGTTTGCAAGGAAGAATGGGATAAATTAATTTATGCCAAGGTATAAGTGACTGAATAAGTGCTATTCCTCTAAGGAAAGTGGCTATTTAAAAATATTTTCCATTTCATGTCAATCATCAATGGGTCAGTACAGTACATTTTATAAGGATCAGTGACATGTGGACACCAGTTTTTTTTGTCACTAAATATAGAGTGCTAGGCTTTTCTGGGTAATATTGATTTTCCCCAAACTACACAATTTCAGAAAATGATGATGCCATCAGGACATTTACAAATTACAAACATTGCAATACTTAAAATTATGCAAATTTTTGGTCACTTCCCCATTTAAAAAGACTTCTCAAAATAATGCCTGATAAAATTAATCTACAAAACCACTTTGGAAAAGTACATTATTTTTCTCATTTTGACTTTGAGTTTTTTGTTAATCTGTTAAAAAAATGTAGTGGGGAGTGTGGTTAAAGAGGTGAAAGAAACAGAGCTTCCAGTTGATGGATTCTATATGTCTAAGAATACATAAGTATGTAAAAAACAAAACAAAACCTCAAAACCAAAAATATATTATAAATAAGTCTTCCAGCAAGATGAAGAGATAACAGTTCTTTTATCAATTGTTCCCACAGGAGAAAACATCTTGAAGAATGCTTGTTTATTTAATCCTTTATTAGACAGAGTTGGCTACTTCTAATGACTCATCTTTTGATGTAACAATACTTTTTCTCCACGCTTAACTACGCTATCATTTTGATATCTAATTTTCAGAGTAAAAAAATTTGGCTACTCCATCTTCCCTTTTTATGTCTCCTTGGGGATTTCTTATCAGAATTATGCCATTATTGTCTTTTAATTGATTGAAATATTCTGTGTACTTCAAGGTAACATCATGTTTGTTAACTATATGTTAATTCTACTTTAAATCATTTGAGCAGTTAACCAATTTATGAATGCAAAGGAAAAATTCTTGAAGAAAATTAAAAGTATTACTCCAGTGAACACAAGAATGATAAGAAAGTGAAACAACTTTGTTGCTGATATGGAGAAAATTTTAGTGGTCTGAATAAAGATTAAACTGATCACAGCATTCCCTTTAGCCAAAGACTAATTCAGAGCAAGGCCCTATTTCTTTTGAATTCTATAAAAGCTAAGAGAGATGAGGAAACTACAGAGATGAGGAAACCTAGCAGAAGTTCATTCATGTGGTTTAGGGAAAGAAGCCATCTCCACTGCAAGGTGAAGCAGCAAACACTGATGTAGAAACTGCAGCAAGTTATTAATAAGATCTAGCTAAATTAACATACTAAATTGACTATACTAAGCCGGGCTCAGTGGCTCAGCCTGTAATCCCAGTACTTTGGGAGGCCAAGGCGAGTGGATTGCCTGAACCTGAGGATTTGAGACCCACCGGGGTAACTTGGCGAGATCTCGTCTCTATAATAAATCAAAAATTAACTGGGCATGGTAACGGGTGCTGGTAGTTCTGGTTACTTGGAAGGCTGACGTGGAAGGATCGCCGGAGCCCAGCAGGTTGAGGCTGAAGTGGCCGGGAGTGTGCCAAAGCACTCCAGTCTGGGTGACAGAGTGAGACTCCAACTCAAGAAAAAAAAGATGACTATACTAAAAACAGGTCTTCAACGCAGACAAAGCTGCCTTCTTTTGGAAGAAGATTCCATCTAGGACTTTCATAGCTAGAGAGGGGAAGTCAATGTTTGGGTTCAAAGCTTCAAAGAACAGGCTGACTTTCTTGTTAGAGGCTAATGTAGCTGGTAACATTAAGCTGACGTTAATGCTCATTTACCATTCTGCATATTCTAGGGCCCTTAAGAATGATGCTAAGTCTACTCTGACTGTGCTCTATAAACAGAACAGTGCCTGGATGACAGCACATGCATTTTTTAAGCCCACTATTGAGAACTGCTGTTCAGAAAAAAATTCCTTTCAAAATATGACTGCTCATTGAAAATGTTCCTTGTTACTCAAGAGTTCTAATGAAGGTGCACAAAGATATTAATGCTGTGCTTATGCCTGCTAACACATCACCTATTCTATAGCCAGTGGATCAAGGAGCAATTTTAAGTCTCATTATTTAAGAAATATATTTTTATAAGATTATAGCTGCAATAGACAGTGATTCCTCTGATGGATCGGGAAAAGCAATTTGAAAGCCTTCTGGAAAGGATTTACCCTTCTAGATGTCATTAAGAGCTTTGTTATTTATGGAAGGAGGTAAAATTTCAACATTAACAGGAGTTTGGAAAAAGATTCCAACCCTAATGGATGGCTTTGAGGGGTTTAAGACTTTAGTGGAGGAAGTTTCTGCTGATGTGATGGAGATATCAAGAGAATTAGAATTAAAAGTGGAGCCTAAAGATGCAACTGAGTTGCTGCGATCTCAAACTTGAATCATAATTGAATAGATGAGGAGTTGCTTCTCACAGATGAGCAAAAGAAGTGGTTTCTTGAGGTAAAATCTACTCCTGAATGATGATAATATGAACAATTTAAAAAATGACAACAAAGGATTTAGAATATTACATAAACTTACTGGCTAAAGCAGTGGCAGGGCTTGAGAAGACTGACTCTAATTTTGAAAGCAGATCTATTATGGGTAAAATGCTATCAAACATCATGGCATGCCAGAAGGAAATCTTTAGTGAAAGAGTCAATCCATGTGGCAAACTTCATTGTTGTCTTATTTTCAGAATTTGCCACAGCCACTCCAGCCTTCAGCAACCACTACCCTGATCAATCATCAGCCATCAACATTGAGATGAGACTCTTGACCAACAAAAAGATATAACTCACTGAACACTCAGATAATTGTTACCATTTTCTAAAGAAATAAGATTTAAAAAAATTAATGTATGTACATTTTTTAGACATATACTATTGCACTCAATAGACTACAGTGTAGTGTAAACATAACTTTTATATGCATTGGGAAACCAAAAAATTCACATAACTCATTTTATTGCAGTATTCACTTTATTACAATAGTCTAGAACCGAACCTGCAATATCCTTGGGGCTTGTCTGTATTTTAACAGAAGATAGAATTTTAAATCAGAGAAATATATCTTTAATTTGAGACTGATCTAATAGAACTAGGTGACAGAACGGGAGGAGGACAGTGTTTTAGGATGAAAAATAGAATGAGATATGAGCTAAGCCACGTGAGATTTGATAATTTGAGGACAAAAATGTTGGGTCTGGAGAACTGACATCTCAGCCAACAGGGAACCAAGGGACTTGAGGAATTATCATGCAGACTAAAATAGAAACAGGGCCCAGCATTGCTCTAGGTCCCAGCATTGCTATGTTCCTGCCATTGACCCTCCTCAATCTCTTTGTGCCTATGGGAAATACAAGGGGTTGCTATGAAATTATTAGGCACAGTTATCAAGACGGTAGGAAGACCCAGCCAGGCCCAGGGGCAATATAAAAATACATTTGTAAGATTTGGAAGAAGCGTACATAAATTTTGAAAGATAAGGAATGCATGGTCAATGAACAGAATGAAATCTTCTTGTGAGATCAGTAAGAGGCACTCTGAGGCCCAGGGGTGAG